TTCTGTGTACCTCCTGCTTCTTCTCATTAGCCTAGTGATGGAGAGTCAACTGTGAAAGTAGAATGCAAAGCACTTGAAGAGCCCGAATCTAAACAGTTTGTTTCTATAATCTTATGCTTTCTTCAATCTGGGACGCTAATGGGAAATAGATGGAAGAACATTAATCTCCCAAGGTAGAAGAAAATCCACTCAACTTATTATTTTCCAGTGGTTGTGCACCTTGCTTTGCACTCTAACTAATCTGGTACTTTCCTCTCTGTAAACACATGTTGTTTGGGGGGAAAGGAGGCTGCACAGCCCTGGCTTCTTAACATTCTGGCTAAGAAAAGAACCTGACAAATGAATTTTTAAGGCAAATTGATCTGTGCATTCAGGGCAGTGATTTAGTTTCCAGCAAGGATGAGTGGATTATAAAATGAACAACTAAGCTCTCAGCACTGGGCAAGTCTCAGACGAATGGTAGACCATTGGTGTAAAAGCATGGAATTCTGGGTAGGGCCGCTCCAAAGGATGTTTAACACAGATTTGAATGGTAGAGGGGAGGCTTCTGCTCCAGACTACAGACTCAAACTGTCCCGGGAGGTCCTGCCTTTAAATTAGCAAGTATTTTTTTTTCCTACCCACTCCCTTCACATTGGAGAAAACAAAAATGAAATCTTTGTAACAAATGTTCATAGTCAAGCAAAACAAATTCCCAAATTGATCATATTCAAATGTATCTCTCATGCTTCACCTTGAGCCCATTATCTCTGTCAGCACACTGGCACCATGCTTCATCATCAGGCCTTTGGAAAAATGTTTGGGCATTGCATTTATCAGAGTTATTAAGGCTTTCAAAGTGGAAGAACTGGCACTTCTCTACAGTTTTAGGACTTCCAAAAAATGCTCTTCACAGCAGGCCTGTGAAGTGCCTGTGAGGTACTTGTACTTGTGGGTACAAGTACAATGAGCCTATGATTTAGATCCCAAACTGTAGGATCCTCATACAAGCCTGTAAGTTTTCAAAGCCCACCAGTAATAACACATTTCTATTTTACAATTTAAAAATCATGTCAGGGTCAGTATGGTTTGATTATGATTATTATTGTCATTAATAGTAACGATGGTGATAATAATGGCTAGCAAAGGAATTTGCAGGGAAAAGAGGACCCAGGACAAAGCCTTGAGGTAAATGATGATCCAGCAAAGGAGACTAAAATAGAGAAGTCAGAGTGAGAACCAGGAGAAAGCGGTGTCATGAAAACCCCAGGGGGAGAGAATATCCAGGAGAAGAAGGTATTCAATAGTTTGAAGTGCTGCAGAGAGGTCAAGAAGGATGAGGAGTGAGAAGAGACCATTAGATTTGACAATCTAATGTCAATTTTTGTCAAATATTGTCATTATGTCAAATAATGTCAAATTATTTTGACATTAGATAAGAGGTAAATGGTAAATAAAAACTTTTTTTTTCTTTTGGAAAAAGGAAAATGGGTAGAATGCATCTGTAATTCTTGTACAAGATATACGTATTGATGGGCTTACTTGATGAACTGCCCTACTATATACATGTCATGATCTAGAAGAATGATAGCTTTTTCATCCACTTTGTTTTTTCTATGTGGATGTTTAGACAAATCTCTTTCTCATTGTTTTGGATTCTTAATGAGCCTTTGTAGTGTTCTGAAAAAACCTGATCATTTAGCAAAAATTTCTTCATACTTCAGAACTTCAGAGCTCTGAAGAGTCGTTCAGAGTTGGTGCTCCCTCTACCAAAACAGATCTCAATCCCACTAAAATTTAGTAAATGCTTTTCAAGAGTTGCTGACAAATTCTTCACCCTGCAGACAACCTGGTAACAAGCCTCTGTGAATTTAGCTGGATAACAAACATGCAGCCCATTTTGAGAGCTATTCGCAAAACCTTCTTACTTCTGTAGGACTTGCCAAAAGTTGTGTTCTATTAGCATAACCCTCAGAACCCCGGATCCTCTTTGTACCACAATGAGACATCAGAGACAGAGATACTATAACTATCCAGTATTGGATTTGTCTTAATTCTCCACTACCTATAGGGTGCACTATTGAGATGTATTAAAATGTGCTGGATGAAAAAGATACCCTGTTCATACATTTCTCAGTGGAAATTGCCTAAGATCTGCCTGAATTCTCTGGTTTTATAATAGATTCATAAATGTTAGAATCAGAAAACACATTAAAGATCATCAATTCTAAGTACCTCTTTTTATAGGTAAGGAAATTGAGAGCCAGAGGAAGGGAGATGACTTGCCCAAGGTCTTCTAACTGATAAGTTTTTCAGAGGTAGAGACTATAACTCAGTTCTCTTATCTCACAAACAAACTTTCTTCCTTTTCATACCATAATGCTTCTGCTACCAGATGTGACCAGCCGAACCAACCGGACAACTGGCATCCCAGGGGATGCTGGGAGCACTGAGTCGAAATTCCCTGAAACTGGGAAATTGTGTTTGTTTAAACAGTGGAGCTGGGACAGGGAGTTAAACACGAATGACTGGTGGAGCAAGAGTAACCCCGGAGACTGACGTGTTGGTAACTGACTCCTTCACAGAAGCAACTACTGCCAACACAGTGGTTCTAGGGCTCAGCCTGCTGTATGTCATCAATGAGCAGCAGCTAGTGTTATTTTTGCCCTAGAGCAGAATGAGGATTGATAAGGATTAGACATTAGACAAAGGAGGAATAAATTGACTGACTGTAGGAAAATGAGAAAGAGTGTAAGAGATTGGCAGGTTCTCTGGCCATATGGTTGTTTGGGCCTGGCCTTTGGGTTGCTGGGTTTTAATATGTAAAATGGGCATTTGGAGTCCAGATGAAAGTGTGTTTGATTCTTATCTAATTGACTTAGATCCCCTTGGGTTTGCCGGGCCACTTTTGTAGCATACTTTGCCAAAATTGCTCAAACTGTATGTTTACATTACATCATTGTGTATACTGTACTGTGCCAAAATGGGGAACAAAGATTCTCCCCTACATACACTATGCATGTGTTCTGTAAATATTTGTCTCTGATTTAGTCTTTCTGTTTATGAGGTTATGACTTGAGGATGGAACAATAAAATCATAACTTGGCATTCAAAGTCCACTACCATCTGGCTTGAATCCCCAGTATTTGACCTGACTTTCTCCAACTTCCTTTCACGTACTCTACACTAGCCAAACTAGACTTTGTGTTCCCTGGATGCACACTCTGTCCTTTCCTATCTCTGACCTTTTGCTTGTGCCATCTCCTTTATATAGAATGGCCTTCCCATGCCACTTCCTTCTCATCTTCTCCTCCTTTGAAATCTTGCCTATTCTTCAAGGTCCAGCTCAAATACTGCCCCTTCCATGTCCCCTTTCCTGATTCTGCAAGGGTTTACCTTGCACTGGCACAGCCTTTGATAATTAGTAATAATAATAATAACATTTATATAGCACTTTCAAGTTCTTAAAGTGTTTTACAAATATTAATTTCATTTCATCCTCACAACCACCCTAGGAGGTGGGTGCTATTATTATCCCCATTTTATAGATGAGGGAACTGAGCCAGACAGAGGTCAAGTGACTGCTTATGGTCACATAGTTAGGTGTCTGTTGAGGTAGGATTTGAACTCAAGTCTTCCTGACTCCAGTTCTAGGATTCTATCCCTTATGCCACCTGGCTGTAGAATTCCTGTTCAGTTATAGGTTGGACCAGATGCATAGGAGGATCTTTCCTGTTATGAGATTCTTGTGAAATAAAAAGTTTAGACAAGACTTAGCCCCTGTCCTCATGGAATGTTCTACATGGAGGCTGTGCACTAGTGTCTGTAACTAGAACATACAATATTACATAAAAAGTACATTAAAGAGGTAGGGGGAGGGGCAGGGCATGGGGAGTGCTATGGAAAGCCCATGGGCAAAATTCATTACTGTCAAGAGGGGGATCAGAGATGACTTCCTTGAGGAGGTAGATCTTGGGTTGGGCCTTAAAGGATGAGTAGCAATTCAGCAGGCAGAAGGAGGGAGGAAAGATATTCTGGGCCTGGAGAGCCCAGAAGGATATGGAGGTAAATGAACACAGTACATGTCCAGGTAGAAGAGAGTAGACCCCTTTGGCAGGAGTATGGAATGTGTGGAGGAGAATAATAAAAGATAAGGCTCGAAAGGGAAGTCCCCAAGCCTTGGGTGCCTTGAACGTTTAGATTTTAGACATTGGGGAATTATTGATAAGTTTCAAGAAAAGGAATGATACAACCAAATCTGTGCAAAAGGAATACTAGCCTTGTAGAAGTTAGAAGGTGAATGAAAATGGTGTCTGGAAGATGTGTTAGGAGGCTGTTAATAATAGTCCAGGTGGGTGGTATCAAAGGCTAGAGGTACTAGAACTGAAGCAATAGGACTAGAGAAAAGGGATGGATTTGGAAGATATTGCTGATGTAATGCTGATCAACTGTGAAAGACTTAGCTACTTTGATCAACATATTGATCCAAGACAATTCCATAGGACCCATGATAAAAAGTGCTATCCACCTCCAGAGAGAGAACTGATGGAGTCTGGTGTAGACTGAAATAGAATTTCATCACTTACTCTATCTTTCTTGCTTTCTTTTTTGCAACATGGCTAATATGGAAATGTTTTTACATGATTTCATATGTATAATTAATATCATTGTTTCCCTTCTCAATGCGTGTTGGGGGGACTGGAAGGCGGGAGAGAATTCGGAACTCAAAAATTTTTTTTAAAAAAGAATGTTAAAAATAAATAATAAACTAATTTTTTTTTTTAAAGAAAGAAAGCTATTGCTGAGATGGACTCTAAAGCTTGGTAACTGGCTAAGTGTAAGGGAGAGGAAAGAGTCTAAAAAAAGAAAAGGTTTTGAATGTATTAGAGGGAAAACTCTCACTTGAATAGTTTGGGAGCCTGAGCCATCCCATCCCAATGTTGAAAGGCAAATCATCTGGATGCTGCAAAAACTGACTATAGGTAGCATTTGATGACTGAACATAGTCCCATGTTTTTCAGGTTTTAAGTTATCTGGGAGGACAGAATGGGAAAGCAAAATAGCAAGCTCCGTCCTGAGGTGCTCCAGGATCTCCGGGAGAACACTGAGTTCACAGACCACGAGCTGCAGGAGTGGTACAAAGGGTTTCTAAAGGACTGTCCCACTGGCCACTTGACTGTCGATGAGTTCAAAAAGATATACGCCAACTTCTTCCCCTACGGCGATGCGTCGAAGTTTGCAGAACACGTCTTCCGCACCTTTGACACAAACAGTGATGGGACGATTGACTTCAGGGAATTCATCATTGCCCTGAGTGTCACCTCTCGGGGGAAGCTGGAACAGAAACTGAAGTGGGCATTTAGCATGTATGACCTTGACGGTAATGGCTATATAAGCCGTGGGGAGATGCTCGAAATTGTACAGGTGAGGACTCGGGACCTCACGTGCTATGCCTGGAAGAGGCATCAGAGATCATCTAATATATATAACCTCTTCACTCTAGAGAGGAAACTGAGGCCCAAAAAGATGACTTATTCACAGTCGCACAGCAATGAATGGCTGAGCTGGGTCGAGACCTCAACGTTCTTCATAAATTCCTTAAGCGTGGGGTTATTTAAACTGACATCAGTTTAGTCTGTTTGCTAAGGGAGATTGAAGGATGTCTTTTCTATTGACATTTTTCCAAATGAGATTTGTATGCACCAGGCCTGGCTTCCACTATGGTATAAGAGAAAGAGGGCTGGCCTTGGGATCAAGGAGTACCAGTTCCAAAGCTTGTTCTATGACACTGGCCAAGTCATTTCACTTTTCAGAGTCTCAGTAATACTTGCAGCCCCTACCTCAATTATTGCAGAGAAAGCACTTTGTAAAGTTTAAAGCGCTTTTAGAAATGTGAGTTATTAAAATATATAAAGTGATTTGCATGTAATAAAGGACTTAGCTGTCATCTTAAAACATTATATAAATACGATGATGATGATGATGGTGATGATGCCTAGAGGCAGAGAGCTGGACTTGCTGACCTCTAAATGTTTCTTCTGCCCTGAGATCTGACAGTCCTAGAGAAACCATGAAGCATTGCTTCCTCCCCACTATGCTCCAAGCCTTATCTGAAACACATGGCCATTCTTTGCTCCCACTTCAGCTGGATTGTATGGTATAAGCACATGAAAATTGGGAAACAAGAATAATAATAGTAGTAATAATAATTATAATAATCCCATGAAGGCTGAGAAGGCTGTGATAACAGCAACAATAACAATAATAACTGCCCTTTATATAGTGCTTTAAATTTTATCAAGCATTTCACACACATCATCTTATTTGTACCACTGAAGAACCCTATGAGATACCTATGACATCTAGTATTATGCCCATTTTACAGGTGAGGAAACTGAGGCTCAGAAAGGTGATGTGACTGGTTCCAAGTTGCTTAGCTAGTAAGGGTCCAAAAAATATATATATATCATTTCATGTTTATGGCTTCCCTAACCCAAGATCTTATAACCTTAGGTTATTTCCCCCTAAGATCTGAGCATGGTGTTGCAGTAAAATTAATGTGGTGTAAAGGGAAGTGCCTGGGCTCAGGTGCCAACTTGACCAGTTCTGTAACATTAAACAAATCTCCATGTCTTACTGAGCCTTTTTTCCTCACTGGTAAAATGGGTATAATAATACTCAAACTTTATCTTCACAACATCCTTATGGAGCTGTGAAGAACAGGTAAAGTAATAGATGTGACCTGTAAAGCATCATATAAGCATAAGTTGTTACCAGGGTTCTGCATGGGCCCCAAGGGCTGCATGGATTGGTTGTGTGGTGGAACAAGCCCTAACATTGAGAAAAACCATTGCCTTTGGACAGGCATTGGCACTCTCTCTGAGGAAATGTGCCAAGTCCTTTTTCACTCATCTCACCCTTGGAATTGGCAAGGAGGTGACTGAGCCCTGGTTAGATGCCTAATACCCTGAAAAAAACAATCTTGGTCCCACAGCAGCCAGTGTGACTGGTCAGAAGGTAGGGAAGGACTAGGGAGGGTTATAAAAATGCAAATGACCCCTAGGAAGAATCATACCTAAACCATCAATTACTCAGTAAGTATTAGAGTACCTATACTATGTGTAAGTCACCACATGGGATACCAAGCTATCACCAACTCCTGCTGATTTAGTAATCTCTTAACTCCTTAGCAGGGATAAATGGTCAGGTAGCTTACAGCAAGAATGAGGAGCTGTTATTAGACACTGAGACACCAGGAAGAAGAGAAGGAATTAAAACATGAGAAAAGACCTTAGCTATCATAATCCATTCTTCCCATTTTATAGAGAAGGAAACTAAAACCCAGACATGATTAGTGACTTGCCCAAAATCACTCAGCTAGTTAATGGCAGAGCTAGGAAAGTGCATAAGACAAAATTCACTAACTTCCCAGTTTTCTTTAGGACTGATCCTGACTGTCTTACCCCAGGTCCTATTAATGACATGCCACCTACAGCTCACATGCTATAGATTGTCCACACTTTCTTTGAGAGGAGGAGGAGAAGTAATGACAAGAGTTGTAACTGATATTTACATATTGCTCTACAATTAACAAAAGTTTCTAGATTACGACAGTAATACAATTAAATTTAGAAATCTTAACTTCTGGGTTCCAGATGAAATCTAGTTCCCATCATGGACTCATCTCTCTTCTATTCAAGGAAAGGATTGAGATGAGAGACCTGACCTATTGCAACCTATTCAGAGCCAAGAAGATCATGGGGGAAAGATGCATGGAACCCAGTGGGCTCCCACTTCCCTGTGTATCTCCAGGGCAGGCAAGGATGGGGAGGTATCACCATTGTGAAAGGGCATTTTCATACCCTTCAGGATAGATCAGTGGCTAACCTGATCTACCACTTCCTCAACTAGATTGAGTTTAACATGTGGAGAGCCAATTATGGGCCTCTTTATTTTAAGGTATATGCTTCAGTTGCCACCTATCTGGTTCTTGCATGTAAGCATAAGATGGGAAATAGAAGCCCTATTTTCTGTGAGCTCATTTGTATGTTATAGCCTAGCTTATATGTAAAAGCTGACCCATTTTCAGATGGACACTGTCAGCAAAAGACTTAGTTGTCCACTACCAACTATTGAGTTTTTTGGCTCTGACTCTTGGTGAGTAAAAAAACTAGGATTTGCTCAAGTGGGACTTAATTCAGCTACTTTCCACTGTTCTGTCAGCATCAAAATCCCAGGACCTAAAAATCTGATCAGTATCTTTTAATGGTTTTCAGTGTGCCATGTTTATCATGAGGTACATAATTATAAATGGCTATGACTCTTCTTTTATAAAAGAAAAATTATTAAGTCCTGACTATGTGCACAGCTCTGTGCTAAGCACTGGTAGAGAATACTAAGTTAGATAAGACATCATCCTTGCCCATATGGAGCTTATGGTCTATTTACAGGGCCACAGGTCACTCTTGATGGTGGATATGGTACATAAAGATAGCTAAATACACAGTATTACTGGACAAATACATGGAGTAGATACAAAACCAAGTGCTGTGTGAGGTTACAAGGGAAAGTGGTTATAAACCTTAGATATGACTCTCAGAAGGATTCCAGAGACTCAAATGTGCTTGTACTTCGCTATGAAAGCCCTAATGATTCTGGCCCCATTCCTCATATGGTGAGTCCTGTCCATGGTCTCAGCTAGCTGGCAACTAACTAATCCCTGCTGTGGTGTTAGTGACCTGATTGGAAAGGCTTTAGTTAATGATGACCTGAGGCCCTGGCAGCAGCTATTCATACCAGAGACCCTAATATCTGTCCAATGATTAGTATGTTGGGGAAATTTCTCAGTCATAGAGTTTTGCTTCCCGGTCTTTCCTTTCACCATGTATCATCAGAGTGGTGTGGGTTGGAGGGAGAAATGGCAGGGCTTAGCTAGCTTTTCCTTTTTTTTCAATCTGGGGAAGGCTGCATGAGGACCCCAACTCATATACCCATGTACTGTGTTTGCAAACTGGGTAATGAGCTTAAATCTTTGCTCCTCCTTCTGGAGCTTCCCAGAGTCTTTTAAAAACTCTTTCTTCCTTGTACTCCTCCAGGCCATATACAAAATGGTATCGTCAGTAATGAAAATGCCTGAAGATGAGTCCACTCCTGAGAAGCGTACAGACAAAATTTTCCGGCAGATGGACACAAACAATGACGGTAGGCTATGGGTTAGTCTCTCTGCTTGGTGTTGTTAGAAACCAAAATGCATTCGTCCACACCACTGATTTCTCTCACCCCTCTCCACCCCTCCCCCAATTCTCCAGCCTAAAGTCAAATCCCTTGAGTGGGATCCAGGGGTGGGAGGTTTCAGTAATTGAATCATCTACAGGCAGCAGAAAAACATACAGTAATGGAAGAAAAAGTCACCTTTGGGGCTTGTTAAAAACACCTTTTCCTATGCTCAGTTGAAATCTGGGTAACTTAGTGATTTTCTGCAGAAAGCTGTCCCCTGCAGCCATCTCTGCTTGTTTTCCCATCTTCGGATCATGTTGACTGGGCACCACTATTCCCCAATAAACATCTTCGGTCATCCAGCCCCGCTCTAAAAACACATGGCTTGCTCTGCACCATGTGGATTGGAACAATGTGTTCCACATTCTAATTTATCCTCTGGGGCTGAGAACTTCCTTCTTAGAACTCAAAGGAGTTGGCCCTCCCTGTGAGCTTAGAAAGACTGAGAGAAGGGGATCCAGAGGATCTTGAGCAGTAGCAACTCCTTCCTCCTTCCATGCTACCAGGTGCCCCTTCTTTATAAGGGACAAGAAGGAGGCCCTTATTTATTTCAGAGTCTGAGACCTAGGAGAGACCTCAGGTCACTTACTCCAACCTGTTGCTGAGCAAAAATCACCTCTATGCCATCCTAATAAGCAGCCATTCAGCTTCTGTTTGTAGAACTCCAGGGATTGAGAATTGCAAAGGATTGTGGTCTTTGAGCTGGACAGGGCCTTAGAATCATCTAGCACAGGGGATCTTAATCTGATGTTCATGAACTTGTTTTTTAAAAACACTTTGATGGTTATATTTCAACATAATTGGTTTTCTTTGTAATCCTTTATTTTATTTTGTTCATTTTAAACCATTATTCTGAGAAGGGGGCCCAGGAACTCCACCAGACTGATATAAGGGTCCATGATACACAAAAATGATTAAGAACCCTTGCTCTAGTCTTACTGCACCTGCCATTTTACAAATGAGGAAACTGAGTGATTCATCCAATGTTCCATAGGTAGTAAGTAAACAAGCTGGGATTTGAATACAAGTCTTCTGACTCCAAATCAATATCCATATCACTGCTTCCTACTTTCCTAGCCTGGGGCAATGGATAGAGCACCAGGCCTGGGGTCAGGAAGATTCATCTTCCTGAAGTTAAATCTGGCCTCAGATAGTAACTAGCTATGTGACCCTGGGCAAGTCACTTAACCCTGTTTGCCTCCGTTTCCTCATCCGTAAAAAGAGCTGGAGAAGGAAATGACAAACCATACCAGTATCTTTACCAAGAAAACCCCAAATGGAGAGTCAGACATGCTGAAAAATGACTAAACAACAACTTCCCAACTCAGGTCGTTCCATTTGGGGACAGTTTATGTAAAGAAATTACTTTCTTGATCCTGACCTGTAGCTATTGAGATGATATGGGGTTAAAAACCCCTTATTCTATGGAGTTAACAAAAATAAAAACAACAATCCACCTATGTCCCATTAAAGAAAACTCCAAGGTCTAATAGTGGTTCTTTAATTCTGAAGAGCATCCCAAAGAGATGTTCTGCAGAACCTTGGATAAGTCGTTACCTCTCTGCACTCTTCATTTCCTCACCTGAAAAATGAGAGTGTTATACCAGACATCCTCTAAGGCCCTTTCGATTAACCACTGATATTCATTAAGTGCCACTGAACTAAATGCTGAGGGAAAGGAGATGTTTTAGATTATGTGATGTTAGAGTTTGGGAAAGACCTTGGTGGTCATCTAGTACAACCTTCTCATTTTAGAGATGGGAAAACCAACGTCCAGAGAAAGGAAGTGTCTTCAAACCCAGATCCTCCGTCTCCAAATCCAATGTTGTTTTGTTACAGTCCTTGGCCTCTGTACTTTGAGCCTAGGAGGTCCGGAGCTAAGGCATAAACACAAAATAATAGTCACGTAACTGGATTACATGATAAATGGAGGAAGGAGGAAGAAAGGGAATAAGTATATATCACCAGGCACTATGCTTAGCACTTTTTTGAATATTATCTCATTTGACCCTCACAGCAACCTTGCAAGGAAGGTTCTGTTATAATCCTCATTTTACAGTTGAGAAAACTGAGGCAAACAGAGGTTAAATGACTTCCCCATGGTCACACAACTAGTAAGTCTCTGCAGTTAGATTTAAACTCCAGTCTTACTGATTCCAGGCCGGGCACTCTATCCACTGGGCCACCAGCTGCCTCATGATAAATTCGATAGAGAGCTACAAAACAAAGGGTCATAGGAGGTCTGAGAGGGAAAGTCATTTCAATGGGGGAAGGGGTATTGACTCTGACATCCTAGGATTCCCTAACTGTAATTTAAAATAATGGGAAGTGGTGACTAAGGTAATTTGAGTATGTGCTAGTAGAAAGAGGCCTGTCTTGTTGTTTGTAAAATCAGGCATTCAGTGTACCCAGCCCTCCCCCTTTTAAGCCCATTCCTGGAAAACAAATGTCTCTGTCCCGGGTCACCAGTTGGTTGGTGTTACCAATGGCCCACAGAGTTTATGTGCTCCAACCCCAGTACATTTACCACATCAGGGAGAGTCAGACCTGCTTTTCAACCACCCACTCTTTTCATACCCTCCTGGGAAGACAACAGGGCCATTGACTGCACTGAAGCCTTCTTAAATATTTAACCAAATCTTTGAGTCTTGTTTACAAGGGCCACTTGGGTTGGGCAGCGCCCAGACCCCCAGGGCATGAGATTTTGTCATCATCTGTCATAATCACTGGCATACCAGGAAGCATCCAGGCACAATAGGCTAAGCAGACAGCTAAAGAGATAGGCAGGAAACTCGGTCACTGGATTCCAATGCCATCTCTGACCCTCAAGTGACATCACGCCTACATATGAGTGTCTAATTACTGACCGGGACAATAACACTAGTGACAGAGGGGAGGAATGGAAAGCCCATAATAACACTTAATTGCCAAGTGAAAGGAAAAGAAGCTATGTGCTTCTCTTTAGATGGGATACATGACAATCACATAAACACAGGGCCTGAGATAGGCCTATTCCTCCCGTCTTCACACTCATATAGCGTGAGGGGAGCAGAGGTTGAATCAGGCAAATTTTCCTCCCTTCACAAATAAATTTCTGGCAGAGGAAATGGTTATTGTTAGTTTAGTCTGGAGATGAGGAGAAGGGATGGGAGAGAGGCAGTGCTTGAGGATGGTATTGTAGGAATACCATTGGCCTATGTTTCTAATCCCAGATTTCATCCCAGATTCACTAGTGCTGTGACCATAGAGGAATCATTTGTCTTCTGTGGGCCTTAGTTTCTCCATCTGGAAAATGGGGGTAGGGGGGGAGAGATGATTCATTAATCTCAGAGGTTCCTGCTAGTTCTGACATTTTAAACTAGTTTACATCTTTCCCTCTGGACAGTCTGACTCTTGAGTATGCTAGAGCAGCAGAAGATTTGGACTTGGAAGTGGAGGAGTTGGGCTTAAATCTCAGATCTGTTTCCTGCCTGAGTGACCTTGAGCACACGAAGGAATCAATAGTAAATAGACTTACCCCAAGACAAGGGATTTAAAGCACTTTGCAAGCCTTAAAATGCTAAGGAAAAAAATGTCAATTATTTTTACTTCTACTACTGGGTGATCTTTCAGACCTTTTTCAGCTATAAATTCTAGATCTTCTAAGTGTCCCTAGGTAGCCAGGCTGGTTCCTGTGCTTACCAGGTACAGAATAATAAATGAAGAAGATTTTACTCTAAAAGATTAGATTTAAGGGGAGGATTTCCCAACTTAACGGACTACTAGACAATGGAATATATCACCCAAAGAAGTTGAGTCTTTTCCTCCCTGAATGTGATGATGGTGATGATGGTGATGATGGTGATGATGATAATGACAATGATGGTGACATCTTACATTTATATAGCAATCTACAATTACATAGCACTTTAACTGAATTATTTCAGGAGTCAGCTTTAAACAGTTCTCAGAGGAGTGCCATATTTGAAGTCAGAGCACTTGACTTTAAAATCTCAATTCTGCTGTTTAATAATAGCTAGCATTTACTTAGCTCTTTAAGTTTTACAACGTACCTTATAAATGTTTTCTCATTTTATCCTCACAGTATCCCTGAGCAGTAGATGCTATTATCATTCCCATTTTATAAATAAGGAAATTGAGGCAGAGGTCATGTGACACACCCAGTCTCTGAAGCAGGATTTGAACTCAGGCCTTCCTGACGAGATTCAGATGCTTCAGTTGTGTCTGACTCTTCATGACCCCATGTGGGGTTTTCTTGGCAGAGATACCAAAGTGGTTTGCCAATTCTTCTCCAGCTCATTTTACAGATGAGGAAACTGAGGCAAATAGGGTTAAGTGACTTGCCCAGGGTCACACAGCTTGTAAGTGTCTGAAACCAGATTTGACCTCAGGAAAATGAGTTTTCCTGACCCCAGGCCTGGTGCTCTATCCACTGTGCCACCTAGATGCAACCTTGGGCAAATCACTTGAATGTCTCTGAGCCTCATCACAGTTGCCTCATGCACAAAATAAGGGAGTAGGGGATGGGGTGAGGGGTGGAACAGAAGTTAGACTAGATCAATGGTGTCCGACTCAGCCTCTAGGGCTGCACATTGATTCAGAAAACCACAAATTAACATTATCTATGTTGCATCATATTTTTATTTTTTCTGCTAAATATTTCCCAATTACATTTTAATCTGGTTTAACATGAGTTTAACACCTCTAGACTAGGGCATCTCTAATGATTGCTTCTCACACTAAATCATAGAATCAGAGCTGGAAAAGACCTTGAGAGGTCATCAAGCCCAACCCTTTTATTTTATAGAGTCTTAGAGAGGTTAAGCAGCTTGCCCAAGGCCGCATAGGTAAGAAATATCAGAGATGGTAAATGAACCGAGGTCCTATGATTCTGGGCCCATTCCCTCTTTCCACTATGCCATGCTAACTCCCACTGAAATTTAAACTATTTAATTTAATTTATAAAACTCTGTCCCACTTTTTTCTCTTTCTTTCTCACCCAGCTGTGCTGCAATGTTTCCCATCTGTTCATAACTCTCTTGAGAGAGTTGCCTGGGCCATGACTTGTTCAGGATCACATAGCCAGGATTTCTCAGAGGTGGCCCTTGAACTCAGGCTAAGACTCAAAGTTGTAGCTGCTGATCTGCATTTGTAGAGGGCATCCTCTCTAATAGTTTCCTACACCAATGAAATCATAAGTCCTCCAAAATAACTAACTCCCCATATTTATATAGAATTTTCAGTGCACTTTCCCATACATGAGATCCTCTCTAAAGTACCATGAGATGCATTGTTTTCCATAGTTTACAAACATATTTAACCAAATATTATTATACTCATTTTATAGTCAAGGAGGGTGAAGCCCCAAAAGGTTGAGTGGTCTGCCCAAGGTCACAAGGCTAGGTCTTAAACCTAGTCCTGACAGTTAGTCCTATATTCTTTCCATTAGACTCTGGGGTGTTGTGAGGCTAAAATAAGATAATGGAGGTAAAGTGCTTTGCGAGCCTGCTATATAAATATCAGTTGTTATTGTTGTTGTTATTATTATTATTGTCATTGTTTTTATAATAATTATTATTAGCTTACATTCACCAGGCCTCCAGTCTGGTGATGATTTCATTACATGAGCCTTCCATTGCACTTCCACTGAACTCAAGTAAAGTTCATAGAGTAATACAAGGGTGTGCTGGTTAATATTTAACAACCAGGATCTCCCAGGGCAAAAAAAAAGAGTAGATGTACACACTTTGAACTTTAATCTACATTATGAACGCTTTCTTAAATCTTCACAACAAAATGATCAAGCCCTGTTTTTTAGTGATTGCTGATTTCTGAGGCTAAATGCTGACACTGAAAATTTAATAATTGAAAACCTGTTAGAGCTGGCTCCAGCACGCCCCTGACTAAACTTTATTCCTTTCTACTTTCTCTTTAAACTGGAAGTATGGTATCCTTCTTACCATGGGAACCCTCAGCCAGTGAAGGATTCTTTGATTTAAAGAGCTCTTTTCTTCACTGAAAAGTATTCTTTTTCACTTAGTCATTCTAAGTAACTTAGTGGCTTCGTAGCTGAAAGCAGCTAAGAAAGTGAGGACCACTGTATCCAGAACCTGTTATTGGGAGTCTAGGAGATGCACTTGGAATCAAAGTGACCTGGGTTTGAATCTCAGCTCTCATATTTTGTAATTCTATAATCACTCTGTCAGTCAAGAAGTAATCATTAAGAGCTTATTACGTGCCAAGCACTGTGCTATGCACTGCAGATACAAGGAAAAGCTTAAAAAGTCCCTGCCCACAAGTGGACAGAGCACTAGCCCTGGAGTCAGGGGGACCTGAGTTTAAATACGGCTTCAGATACTTACTAGCTAGCTGTGTGACCCCGGGAAAGTCACTTTATCCAGATTGCCTCCCATAGGGTAAAAAAAAAGAGTGCCTGTCCTCAAGGAGCTCACATTCCAATGGAAGAGACAGCATGCAGACATTACATACAAGAAACAGAGAGAGAAGTGGAAGATATAGATCTATATATGTATGTGTACATAGATATCTCTTATATATCTCTATGTATGTATACTTACATCTTTTATGTATCTCTATGTATGTATATTTATATACATAGAGATATATAGATATATCTATGCACATATGTGTATACATATACATAGAGATATAGCTGTACATGTATACATACCTAGATATACATAGATATATCATGTATACATTTATAGATCTATAGCTGTAGATCTATATATCTGTATAGATATGAGATAGGTATATAGATTTATATAGATATAAAATAAATCTATAGAGAGATATGATAAATGGATAGATCTATAGAGAGATATATGTGTATGTTTATATACACATATGTAGATCTATGGGTATAGATGGAAGGTAATGGAAGGTAATCTCAGAAGGAAGGTAAATCAGCATTAAGGAGAGACCACGAAAGGCTTCTTGAAGACTTAAAAGAAGCCAGAAAGCCAGGAGATGGGGATGAATAGGGCAGGAACTCCAGGTATAGAGGACGGCCAGTAAAAATTCACTGAGTTGAGAGATGGAGTGTCTTGTGTGAGGAACAGCAAGAAAGATGGGAGTAAGGTATAAGAAGACTAGAAAAGTAGACAAGAAGACTGGTCAGGGTATGAAGGGCTTTAAGAACCAAACAGATTTTCTATTTAATCCTGAAGGTGGTGGGGAACCACTGGAGTTTCTTAGTGACTTCCCCTCTCTGAACTGTAATTATCCCAATCTATAAAATGAAGAAGTTGGAATATGTGATCTTGAAGGTGCCTTCCAATTCTTTCATTCTATGATTCTCAGTGGCTCAGTGGTGGAGGCCAGGGCAGGGAAATAGGCGCCTGTCCCAGAGGCAGGAGGTTCACTTTGATATAATAGTTCCAATCAGTGAGAAATTAATTCAGATTGTTCCCCGTCTAAGTACTGCTTTCTCCAGTTTGGGTTGTTGTATGTTTAGGGTTTATGCTTTTGTTTTTGTTTTTTTTTAAAGTTACTAGTATCTTGAAATTTTGGGAAATAAAGCAGATTCTTACAACGATTCATAAGCTCCTTTAGCATGTGCTGTGGTCACCATATTGAAACTTCATACTGTATACAATGGTACTTCATCATAAAAAATGAAGAACTTAAAAAAAAAATCAAGTCTTTTAAATAGAGAAAGAGAGTATCATATTCTCTATTTCCAGAAAGTCAAAAGATTAGGTTTGAAAAGTGAGCTTATTAGCTTTGGGGAGGATAAGTGCCTTCATTGTAGCAGCATATTTGATCAGAACTTGGTTCCCTGTTTCTCTTTTGTTTGGTTTCTTTTTTTTTCTTTCTTTCTTTTTTTTGGTTGTTCTCTTGTTCCCCTTCAGGCAAGCTGTCACTGGAAGAATTCATTAAAGGTGCCAAGAGTGATCCTTCCATTGTCCGGTTGTTACAGTGCGACCCAAGCAGCGCAAGTCAGTTCTAAACCCACCCACATCTGGACAGTTGCAAAGAGCCACTGGCTTGTCATTCCAGCTTTGCTTACAGAAATGGATGCCTTCTCAAACCATTCCTCTGCTGTTCTCAGATAAGGTCCCTTGGTCCAGTGGTTTCCCTCCATGCATCGGCATGGCCAGCTGCAATTCCCCGATCATCCATGCCAGGGCCAAAGTCCTTGGTCATTCAAATTTATTTTCAGTTTTCCTTCTGTCATCCTGATTCCTTTACAGAGCCCTAATATCACTTAGAGATATATTTCATGCAGACAGCAAGGGGGGCTCAGGCCCCAGGGATGGGAGACATCTCCCTTCACTTGGGGAATTGTATGAATATGTTCTAATAACCATGAGAAGAGCTGAGATAGGACTTTATAAAATAGAACCAAGGTTAGCTAATTTATTTTGCTTTGAAAATGACTGTTTGAAGAGTTGGGAGCTAAAAGCAGACAGAACGAACCCTTTCCTGTGCATGATTTTATTCTTTTTCTTTTTGTTGGGAAAAAGTGGCTTGCACTTATCCGATGATGGTCTTTGCTTTCTTTTAATATATAAATTATATATATATATATGGTGAAGTACAGTTTCATGCTAAGGTCACCTATTTAATGCATCTGATAGCTTTTCCAGCTTTTTCCTCTCTTAGTGGCCTGCGATTAACCCAATGCTAATTGTTTTGTGGTATTTATGCATCTGCAACTTGCCGTCTTTCAGAAGAAATGCATGTTTAGCCTTTACTGTGGCTATTCCACTGTCCAACACCTGAATGCACATATCTGTTCAAGGTTCGTTTTTACTGTTGGTTGGTCCAGCGTGTCCTGTATTAAAATCATAAAATAAAAGGAATGATCTAAAACTTGCATTTTTCCATCAAAATTCCACCCTGGGGCATGTGGCATCCAGTGGTCACCATCCTGTAAGGGGCAGTTACTCTACTCACCCTGCTCTTTGTAAACATTGCTCCCCCATCTTCCTTTGCACTGTCACTGTGTTGATCAATCTTATGCATTCCAGTGTTATTTAATATCTGCCTAATGCCAAGAGTTATTAATTGAAATAAAACAATGACTTTTCTTGTCAGCTCTTTCTCTGTCCAATTTTAATCAGTACAGCAGTTGAGGAGGCAAACTGCTTAGCAGGTCCCGGGGCTGATGTGAACAGGGATAATGCAGGCATGAAAGCCCTCTGTCTGGTGCCTATTTGATGCCTGGAGGTGACCCTGCATTCTTGAAGGCCACAACATTGGAGTCCTACCTCTGGTAGGTTCTACTAAGCTGGAGAGTGAGATCAAGCCAGGTGCTAGATTATGTGTCTGGCATTCAAAGGTCAATCTACTACCTAAGTTTAGAAAGGCTCATCACTAGGTTGGTTGCACAGTGATATATTTTTCAGCCAAGCAATTCTCAAAGATGGAGAAGTTCACTGTGTATCTGTACAGACAGTAGCAGGACTAATGAATTCCCAGATAATTTAAAGTATGCTAGTAAGGTGGTATATCTTGGGGTTTGGGGTGCCCATCCCAAAGTCTTTTCTCTGGTGGAAAATGCATGTCACCTGAAGGCCTTGGCTACCTATCATTGGCCATGTTCTCTGTAGAAAAAATACTCAGCCTTTTGTTGAGTTGGTTATTTTGCTACTAAAAGATCAGATAGTATACTTTGAAATTCAATAGGATCCAGTTAAATTTTGTTGTCTGTTGCATAAAATAATTAAAAAGTATGAATGTGTAGATCCACTCAATAGTGTCCAAGAGGGGAGGACTGAAGAAAAGTATTCTCCCTAAATATAAAATTAGGAATGGCTAACTATGTATGAATGGGGTAAAAACAAATCCTCAGGTTCCTAATGAATTTTATGTGAGGTGTATAGCTTAGTTCAGCTAAACAAAATATGCTATCAGAAAACCTCCTCAGAGGAAGGCCCTGCTGACACATGGCTCCCTCTTGCCACCTGTGGTCTGAAGAGTTTTGAGGAAGAACAGTGCTGATGTCCTAGGCATCCCCTGAGCAGCTCAGAGAGACCCCCAGCTCAGTCAAGTTCCTGAAGGTAAGTGTCAGCTTCACAGCAGTTGGGAAACAAATGGAGAAGTGATGGTATTTCAGAGTGGGAAAGGGTTCTTACCGGGCATCTAGTTTAGCCTCCTCGCTAATGCAAGAATACCCTCTCACAACCTCACTGATGAGCCCTCTAACCTAGGGGTTCTTAACCTGGGGTCTGTGAACTTGTTTCTTAAATATTTTAATAAATGTTACTTCAGCATGATTGGTTTCCTTTCTAATCCTGGGTATTCTAATTTATGAATTCAAAAAACATTATCCTGACTAGGGGTCCATAGGCTTTACCAGATTCCAAAGAGGACCAACATTGCAAAAGGGGTTAAGAGCCCCTCATACAACCTCACCCTGAAGAATCCCAATAGTAGCAGACCCACTCCCTACTCCACTGGGTTCAAATCCCAACTTTGAGACCCACCAGCTATGTGATCTTGAACAAATCACTTTCCTTTTTTGGGCCTCAGTTTTCATCTGCCAAAAGAGAAGTTTGAACTAATTGTTCTCTACAGTCTTTTCGAACTATTAAACTATGAACTTTCATGCCTAGTTCCTCTGACTCCAAATTCAATCATCTTTGGGCTACTCAATGTCAAAGAGCTAAGATCTATGAGAATCACTGGCTTTTCTTAGGACAAAACAAACCCACACTGGAACAGAGAGGGAATAAAAAGAGAGTGGCCAGGGTGGGGTGGGGGAGTAGCATTTGAAATCAGCAAGTATTATTGATTCTAGGAATTCATGTTCTGATAGATTTCCCCAGATGGGAATAGGAGAGGGAGGGAACAAGGGGGATGATACAAGAGGATTCACAGTCTGAAGTCTGCCCTATATACCTATGCTGCTAGGACTCCAGACCCTCCCCTTCCCACCTTGTTCCTGGCTACCCAGATCTTCAACAGACCCTAAACTAGGGATCTAGTTTAAACTAGGGAGACTAGGGGTGGTATCTATCCATGAATTTTTCTGGTCTCTCTTCTCTTTGATGATCTCAAAACAGATGAAATAATTTCAATTAAAGAACAAGGAAAGAAGTATGGAAGCCAAATTAGAGGGTGCCAGCATTACAGGTGGCAGCTAAATATCACAGTGGAGAGAGCATTGGGCCCGAAGTCAAGACTCTTCCTGAGTTTAAATCTGGCCTTAGACATTTGCTAGCTGTGTGACCCTCGGCAAGTCACCTAGCCCTGTTTGCCTCAGTTTCCTCATCTGTCAGAAAGCTAGAGAAAGAAATGGCAAACCACTCCATTATCTTTCCCAAGACTACAAATGGGGTCATGAAGAGTTGGACACAACCAAACAGCAACAACAAAAGCATTATAAACCTCATCTCCAAGTGTACCTGAGGTAGCTACTGGGCTTGTTTAAGTTCCTTAAAAAATTTAAAATAAAAAAAAAAAGGAAATTCTGACAGTTCCCAAATAGGCAGTTTCACCCACCAGGTGGCCTGTTGGCTCTCCCCTCACCATAATCTGCACTTAAATATAATCTACCTTGAACTATCCCTTTATTTTCTGCTTTTACTGCCATTCTCCCCCTTCCCTACTTCTCATCTTTCTATCTCTTCTTCTTTTATTAGTAGGATTATAGGAAACAGAATGGGAAAAGGCCTTAGAGATCAACATCTCCAACACTGCATTTCACAGAGGAGAAATGAATAATCCAAGGCCCACAGAAGGGGCAGGAGCGTTGCCTAAAGTCACTTATGTGGTAGGTAAGTAGCAGAACTGGAATTCATACCCAGTTCCTCTGACTCCCAATTCAACAATCTTCCCGCAACCTGGGCAAAGAACTAAGATCTGTGACAATCACTGACTCTCCTTAAGGCAAAACCCACTCTAGAATAAAGAGGGAATAAAAAGAGAGTGGAGAGTAGCATTTGAAATCTGCAAGCATTCTTGGCTCTAGGAATTCATGTTCTGATAGATTTCCCCAGATAACAGGAGAGGGAGGGAACAAGGGGAATGATACAAGAAGATCCACAGTCTGAAGTCTGCCCTACATACCTATGCTGCTAGGACTCCAGACCCTCCCTTCTCCACCTTGTCCGTGGCTACCTAGCCCTCTTTATAAGTGGGACAAGCTCACTTCTGGCTGCCATTTGCATTGCCCAGCGACACAGTGGCAGAAGCCAAACTCGAACTCAAGACCTCAAACTCCAAATCTAGTACTCTTTCCGTAGTCTATAAAATGAGATTGTGCAAGATGACCTCCAAAGTCTTTTCCCGCTTTCAACGGATATCCTATAATCAATGAGCAAATATTGTTTTGGTCTGAATATAGTCCTCAATTTTCCAGGCCGTCTGGCTCCAGCCTATATTTCCAGACTGATTACTCATCATTCTCCTTGACAAACTGTGTTTTAGACAAATTGGTCTATGGACCCCTTCTCAGAATAAGGTTTTTCAAATAATTGAAGGAAATGCTAAATTTCAGTTCAATGTTAGTGAGTATCAAAATGTAATTTTTTTCCCCATCTAAGTTCTGTCTGTGGACCCCTATGGGGAGAAGAACCCTTGAATTAGGTGCTCAGAGGAGTGAGCAATCGAGGAAAGCTCAAGAAAGGCTTCACAGAGCAGCAAAGTTGGCCCTTGAGGACCAGCTAGGAGAGGAGGGCAGAAGTCACTTCAGGCAGGGGCAACAGAGTGAGGAGCATACCAACATAAAAATGTGTCTAATATTCTCTAGGAACAGTGAGTAAGGCAGTCAGGCTGGAGCCAGAAAGTGGAAAGTCCTAAATTCTGGGAATAGGAGTTCAGACTTGATGATACAGGCAGTGAAGCATTAAGAACAAAGGTGAAAAATGCCAAAATCTTGACTTCATATCCCTGGTGTGGGGAGACCAATAAATCTCTGTATTAAATTCATGATCCCAGAGGTGAGGGTCAGGGGAAATAGAGGAACAAAGAGACTGGCATCACATTCTGCTGACAACAAGGTTGAACTCAATGCAATGCCTTAGGTCATTTAGAGTTATTTGGGCCTAAAGTCAAGAAGACCTGAGTTCAAATCTTGACTTAGATATTTACTAGTAGTGTGACGCTGGGCAAGTCACTTAACCTCTGTTTGCCTCAGTTTCTTGATCTGTAAAATAAGGATAAGAATAGCACCTACTTCCCAGGGTTATGAGGATCACATGAGATAATGATTGTAAGGCACTTAGCAACATGCCTGGCACATAGTAAATGCTATATATATATATATACACACATATATATAGAGAGAGAGAGAGTGTGTGTGTGTATGTATATGTATATAGTAAATGCTATATATGTATATATATAGGTATGTATATGTGTGGATATATATGTATGTGTATATGTATTTATATGTGTGCTATTATACATTATATAAAGCAATATGTAATATATAAAAATATATCTGTATTATTATGACCTGTGACTTTGAAAAAAAAATAACCCTTCCTTTCTCTGAGACCTAATTTCCTTATC